CAAACGTGAAACAAAAGTAAACCACATGAAAACATTAAATATCCGCATCTGACCAAGCGTGTGGTGTTTATGAGCTCACTTTCATTTCCCAGAAAAGTGTGTCTCTTTCGGAGAATTGAGTAGACCGATCGGATCAAAAGACAACACCGAATTACTTCCGATCTGATCAGCTTGCTCAATTGCATCGAAATGATGCTAAGCTTTCGTGCGTCAATCTACACCTCCAATTTATACCCATGTGTGTGTGTGTATGAGAGTGTAGAGTGCTAGTTGCAAGTAGATGTTTGAGGAGTCTTGTTCTTGACCCTCGCTCCGATTGGGCCATGCCGGAGAGACGTCTGGTTGAGTTGGTGAGTTTGTCGTGTGAACTGTGGCGTGTGGAAAGTGTGATTGTGGCGGGGAGATTAACAGAAAGAACCGGTTGCTTGTGAACACGCTTTCTATCCTTCGGTCCATCAATTATGCATTGCCCATCCATACTTTGCCACTTGGCCAAAGTCGCTAACATGAACGGGAAAACGAGATTTTATCTCATTTCCACTTTCTGGCTTGTCTTCGGCTCCACTTGTGACCATTTTCGTGGGCAATTTTAGGCTCATCCACTCTTCGACGAACGAAGCGACAGGCCTCTTCAACAGACAACTGGAAAAAGTGAAAAAGCAGCATTTACAAAGTGAGAGTTAACTGCTCTTAAACTAAGCGAAACAAGTAACGACCTGCTGCCTTTTCCGACCAACGCCGTTCTCGACTTGCCCCCGGACACAAGTCCCCAGCTTGGCCGGAACCGGGGCTTGGTTTCAGTCTCAAAGAGAGTCGAGGAAAGAGTTTGCAGGTTGACAGTCAGAAGTGTTAACACCACAACCAAATGCTGCTGACGCCATCTTTAAGAGGCTTGTTACCATTTACAATGTGGAATCGTTTCTCGAGGCATCCGTAAAACGCGCTTCTCGAGCGGATCTCCAGAATGCTTCGGAATCTCCATTTTACAAAGGCAGAGGCGGCAGTGCTTCTTCAATATTCATTTAGTATTCCTTTAACTTTGTATTCAATATTATTCTCAAATATTACTAATGTTAATATTAGTAGTAGACCATTATTATTGTTGTTGTTGTTGTTGTTGCTACCAATATTCAGTTGTATTATTCTTCGATATTACTGTCCATTCATCCTTATAATTATTTTTTAATCAATAATATTAGTATTACTATTTCTATTATTATTCGCTATCGTTATTCTTCCATGCCTCAATTCAATATTATTATTCACTATAATTATTCCTCCTCCTTAGTATTATTTATGGTATTATTATTGTTAATACCAGTATTATTCTGTAGTATCTTTTTTAAATATTCTTTAATATTCGTATTAATTGTTATTTTTATTTAAAAATTATTGTTTATTATTATTATTATCATCATCATCATCATTATTATTATTATTATTATTATTATTATTATTATTATTATTATTATTATTATTA